TTCCCGACCTTGACCTCAACCTCCAGTTCCAACGCATCGTGCACACCCTCCTCCTGAAAATATGAAATCATCTTACCACGAAAAATATCAAACATAATGTACAGATCCTGCTCCTTCTTCACACTACCAAGCCAAGGTTCGATTTCTGAGCCTGGATTTACACGTAACGTGCCTGAGCGGGCAAAGCCCTGTTGTTCAGCGATGGCCTCAGCTGTCGCCTTGGCCGCTTGCGCCACGATGTGTGCGACGCTGCTGGGGTCGTTGAAGGAAGGTGTTTTACCCTGGCTGGAGGGTGATGGCTGGCTGCCGGTAGGTGGGACCGGGTTGCCGGCAGGTGGTGGGGCGTAGGTGACTTCACCCTCGTTTATCCTGTCGGCTTCGAGTTCGGCTTGCACTTTTTGCTGGACGATCTCCTCCACTTTTTGCTGTAGCTCTTCCCCGCTAAGGGCGGAGAGGTCGATGCCCTCCATGGTGTATGTTGTTGTAGGAGTCTACCGATTACGCGTGTCTGCACAACCCCCGGAAGGCTACGCCCGCGCGCAGATACCGTGATATCGTGATATCGCACTAGTGTGAAAGGTAAACTACGCGGGGTGCAGCACGCACGTTCTGGACGTTACTTGGGGCACTGGGTAGTCGGCCGTGTTAGACCGAGAGAGAGAGGTTGAGAGAGAGTTGGAGAGAGAGTGGGAGAAGGAAACTTGATTGGAGAGAGACGGTGGTGGTGGTGGAGAGAGAGAGGGAAGAAGAAGTGCGCAGCACGCACGCAAGCTCCATCGCACCAACCACGCCAAAAGGATCCCCGTGACTGCACCGGTGGTACCCTACTACACACGAAATTCCCAGCACGTATCCCCTGGGATCCTCACGACCAGATACCGCTGCGAGTATATCTAACACATCCCGCGCTGAAATGAATATGGTGTCCGCTAATGGGCATCAGTTCCAAAACCCAGATACTTCGCAACATTGGCTTTGTTTGAGCGCCCGCCGTTTTGGCCCTTTTGTCTTGAATTTTCAAAGTAAAAGTGGTTGTAGATTTTGTCGTATCTTGTATCTTGACTTCAAACGAGGCGTGTGGGGGTAGACGCGTGAATTGTATGCTTTGAGCAGCCCCGCCCTTTGCGAGAGTCGTCAATTTCTGTTTCTGGTGTTTCCGTGCAGCTTCTGTGTTCCTGCGTTTTTTTCAATATTTGTGAACGTAAATGGAGCCAGCGTCGATATCACTTGTCAACCCATCGAAGATGCAGGGAGAGAACAAGAAAGAGAGGGAGGGAGAGGGTGAGGGAGAGGGTGAGAGAGAGAGAGAGAGAGACAGACAGACAGACAGACAGACAGACAGACAGACAGATAGACAGACAGACAGACAGACAGACAGACAGAGAGAGGCAGAACCTCTTGACTACAACGAGTATCAGCACTTGTAAGAGAGGACGCGGACCTTGCGCACCTCATATTGCTGATTGTTGATGTTGGCGGCTGAAACGCACGGGCAAATTTTGAATGTACCGGGACAGAGTTTCGGAGTTTACGCAGGCAACAACGCAGCACCACGCAACCCGAGTCCTCGAATATGTTCCGATTCGGCCTTTTTTGTTGTTGTTGCTGACGGTGCACCAGCTCTATCTATGTAAATCTGTGAAGAAACATGTTCCAAGAGACGTTCTTTTCGGACCTGTCACCCATCACACCGAACCTACAACTGCTTACTTTTTTTTTTTTTATTTTTCCAAATACAACACAACGAGTCCATTTCTTTTTTTGTCACCTTCTCGTTCCTCCCCCTTCTGCGTTGTAACTTGTGTTTGGAAACATTCTGGATTGACCGACTCTCGGGAATGAATGCCGGATGAGCAGCGCCCGAATGGACGCTGTAGTTCCCGTGGACTGGAGAACACGATCATCGCGGTTTGAGTTTGGTCGTCACGAGGCGCAGGTGCACAGCAACTTTGTCAGGCAAGTCTTCTAAGTCTCTGTGTGTGCAAAGCCATGGGGCTTCTACGAAGTATGGGGTTTTGTTCCGTCCCTTTTGACAATTACAGCAGTAGTCTACACCACCAACTTCCTGGGTCTTCGGGAGCCGTTCTTCTATCCAAGGTTCGTCCCTGAAGGTGAATTTTTACTGTAGTGCAAAACAATTCCCCGCTGTGCTTCCACCAAGGGCTACGGCGAAGGTCGCCTTTCTCGCCACCCTATGCAAGCCCACATCTTATGGAAAAGGTTGCTGTCGGGCGCATTTTTGGGGGCGGGTAATTTGCTTTCAGAGCCGCGTGTGTGTGTGCCGTTTTTCTGTAAAAACTGAGTCCGGTGATACCAATCTACAGTCACGTTACCTGGTGCTCTCTGAACTCAATAACCAAAATCTACTTTGCAACACGCAGTTCTCAACGTGCCCCATTCAGCAACCGAAGGGGTTCGCTCCTCTCTGGTACTAGACTACTCTCGAAAGCCCATATGAGCAATCAATCAAAGTGTCAAACTTTTATCGTCTCTGACACTTTTTTTCAGTTTTTCTATACCACCCCGTCGTTCCGATGGGCGCAGTGGTGCCCATGGTGTGCCCTGGGGAATGCTTGGGGGGGCAGCCCATTGACAGCCCATGGGCGGCCCATGGACCGTCAGTGAGTATCCTTCAACCGGAGCCAGTGTAACCCTAAGCGATAGATTATCTGCTTTAGAACGGGCATCATGAAGGCAAAAACCCTGTCGCTAATCCTAACCCCCAACCCCAAGCCCACACTGTCCCGTGCTACGTAGGTTGGTGCTGGCAATAAGTTCTAGATTGATGTGCCGGTGCCTAACTTCTGAGTTGATATGCCGGTGACGAAGTTCTACATACTATAGTACAAGGTCTCCCTTCGGGGCGTGAATGTCAAGCGTCCCGCGGGCGACGCAAGACCACAGGCGCATTGCCCGATATTGACTGCATGTTATTTTTGATGGGCAGACAAAAACACTAGCCGGCACGTATTTACATTTGGAGCCAGCTCGAGCGGACGACAACTTGCCAGGGGGGAAAATCATGTCTGCGCGGAACGCGTCCCCGTGGCGTGGAGCCAGTTTTTGCGATTTTGACCGTCAACCGCACGCCCCACGGAGGCCTGACGAGCTCCACGTATGAGCGTCAATGTGCCGACGATCCTCGTGCATGCCCTTGAGAAGTAAGCACGAGAAAAGACTCACTGCCGCGCGAGAAAGAAATGCCGAAGCACAAAAAATTGACCAAATCTTGCATGTACGAACGACACAGGTTACCCATGAGCGGTCCATGGGCGGTCCATGGGCGCCCCACGGGCGGTTTGGCAAAACTGCCAATAGTGTGAGAGATTGGTACCGCAGCTTGCCTTGGGCAACCGTGCTGGTCCTCTAAGAGATTTTTCGTTTTTTTATTTCACGGTGGTGTAGACTATGTAGAGAGCAGTGAAGAGATGAAGCAGAACAAAAAAAAAAGTAGTGTGACAAATCTTGTTGCATACTTACGACGACGGTCAGGGCAAAAAGCAGCGGTAATGATAGTTGAGATGGACAACGCCTAACACTCAGTCAGTCTGATGTGGCGGGAACAGGTGAGGATAGGCTTTTCTGTGCTTGTCGTGGGAAACTACGCGAATTGGGTTGCTACGAAATTGGAGAGCAATAGCAGTGACAACCCGCACGCCTTGGAATGAGGGAACGCGTGCTTTCCATGTCTTCGCATGTATGTAGAAGGCAAGATTGTTCGGGAAGGGAGATACACAAGCACGCGTGCACAAATCGCTCCGTCCATCCCTCTTTGCGCACGCGTATCATTATAAACAACAATAAATGTTTTCCCCGAAACGCGATGTACGTACAAAACAAGATAAGTTTCCCTCGAAACGCGGTGTGTAAGATAAAGTTACACCACCATTCGACGAGTCAGTGCTGACTAGTCTAATGGTGTAACTTTATCTTACACGGTGAATGAATAGTCTATCGCGGAGCAAACGAGTCTTTCCGACGAGAGCGAAATCTACTATTAGTTTATTTACTAAAAAATGTACATTTTTGCGCGCGCGTAAAACATTTTGAAACAACCGCGGTTTTGCGGCGAAACGGCTTCCGCGACCCTGTCGTTGACGAGGTAATCGCGGGGAGGGAGGCAACTTACGCACGCGCAAATTGGTCGAGATTGGAGGAGATGCGTGGATGGATGCGCAAAAAAAAGCGAGAGTCATCAATCATCAAGTTGGCAAGTTGTTGGTGTGCGTGCAAAATGCGGCGGAACATACTTACGCTTTCGCAATGGGGTGGAACAAGAGGTTACAAACAGGATAAAAAGCTGGGACAACCAGCATGCCTTGGACTCATTGATCGATTGTGTACCATGTCTTTGCACGTATCCAAAGTGCAGGAATTTTCGGGAAGGAGAGAGATGCATAAGCACGCCAGCACATATCGCTGCTCCTGTCCCTCGATGCGTACGCGTATAGTATGTACAAGAACAATTAATTGATGTTTCTTTCTATTGCGGCGAATATTGTTTATCGCGGGACACGCGTGTCGAGATCAGGATTAACAACAATGGATTGGTGATGTATGTGTTCGGCAACATATTGCTCGCGCGCGTAAAATAATTTGAAACCGTCGTTTTGCGGGGAACGTATTACTTCCTCGTCGGGAAGTTGCAGCGGCGTGGCCCGGGCCTCTCCTTGGCAGGCAAAAATGGTAGGCACACAGCTATTATTCCAGCGTCGAAGGACTTGTCAATCCAGCTGTAGGTTCGACGGGGCTTCAACTTGGTGGAGAATAGGCAGCGTTTAGGCAAAAATCGACCGAGATCGGCGCAATTTGGTGTCGGCAGCACCTACTGCATGTTCGTGTTTCGTGGTAGAGAGTGCCCGTCACCGACACAGCCAACAGTCAACGCATAAGGCACGAATCAAGCTGAAACTTGCGGAGGGCTTCTAGAGCAGTCAAGGACGGCCGATGGGGGGAATTTTCGCGTCTCGGGTGTTCGGCTTAAAAAAGCGCCGTACTTCAGGCCTTCGGAACTGAAAGTCATCATCCATTATTTATATAATTCATTCATTCACTCGCATTGTTTGTTGCCGTTCGAAGTAAATCTCTAGAGACCGTATCGGTCTCTTTGAGGAATTCATTTCGATGCCATCATATAATTTATAGAGCGTTCCGTGTTTGTGTCGATGTTCGACACTTCGTATCTCGACATCAACCCCGGAAGGTTCTCAGTGCAGCCCTCCAGACCATAGTCCACGTAATTGTGGTTCGAATCTAGCTGAATCTAGCTGTTCTCTCCGCTGGCCGTTTCCGTTCCTCAAAATATTCCCTCTTTGTGTACAGAAGTGAGTCGTTCACATTTTGCATAACGGAATAGACTCCGTCGGCCACCTCATGTCGACCCCATTCGAGTCGAGACAGACGTGCCAGACAGCATCCCACCAAGACGTGCTCAAGTAGCACGCAATTGAAATCCCACCCAGCAAGGATACTTGAAGTTGGTTGGCAGCGGCATATTTGAGGGCAATTTACCTCGGTACCGCTTGGACATTACGCATGGTGGAGCGTTGTTGTTTCTCGTGGATTGGTATGAATTTGTTCGTTTGTTGATAGTTTCGACTTTGCTTAATTTGCCAAGCGAGCAAGGTGGGAGATAAGCAACCTTTAGGCATCAATCGATCGGGATCGGCGGAATTTGGTGTCGGCAGCAACTGCTGCATGCTCGTGTTTCGTAGTTGAGAGTGCCCGTCACCGACTCAGCCTACCGTCAATACACAAGGCACCAATCAAGCTACAACTTGCGGAGGGCTTCTAGAGTAGTGCAGGACGGCCGATGGGGGGAATTTTTGCGTCTCGGGCGTTCGGCTCAAAATGTGCCGTTCTGTGGGACCTCTAGAGACCGTATCGGTCTCTTAGAGGAATTGAACGCCTTATGACAAAGAGTCTACCGTAGACTTGAGGTGATCCGCCCCGTACGCCCGCTCTATCTGGTTGCTGTTCGACTCAAACGACCGCTCGTTGGGAGGAAACCATTGGGCAATAAATTTGAAAAACACATTACGGTCCCAAGTGTGTGTTTAATATTCAACAGTTCTAACTGTCATTTTCTGAGACGGACCCCAAGAGGTTGCGGCATGGGGGAGGCAAAGCAATTTTCCGGATCAAGGACAGAAGCAGGAGCGGTAGAAACAAGCTGCACGCGTCTACCAAGGCTGCTACCTTGCACTCGAGTGGCTTTTGGAGTGCTTTCACCGTCAACATCCTCGTTGCTTTCACTTCCAATGTTGTCATCATTTTGACAGCAACTTTTCGGCAGTTCTTCTCCAGCCCTGGGTCGTTTGTTGTGGGGAAGATCATATAGTTCGAAGCTCTTGCTCTCTTCCACGCCATGATTCCCTCCTCGATTGTTGTGTTGGCATGTCTTGTCCTCCCGTTCCCTCTCCTCGTCCTTCATCGCTGACAAACGAACTGCCCTCATTGTGATCATGATCGTTTTACCTACACTGTACATTACACTACTACTACTACTGAGATCCCAACCTATTGGATGTGGCGGAAATTGGTCGATCAGTAGTCCATGACGTTTGAAAACGTCACGCGTTCGTACCGATAGAAAATGAGCCAGCTCGAAGGTAAAACGTCTCCGACTCTATCATGTGTGAACGTGTGAACCATGTCGGAGACAAGCACCGCGTTCCAGAAGATTAGGAACTAAACGCGAAAATGCAGAAGAAAAAATGGTGCTGTACAGACGAAACTTCCAAGCTAAGGACATTTGTTAATTGTTTACATCATTTGTCAATGTCGTAGAATGCGATACCATGGAGTATTAAAGTGGAGCCTCAATCTACGCTACGGTTTCCATGGGTTTCAGGGATACATCATGGAAATTGAAAGTTCCTTAGAATTGTCATGTATTTCCTTAGAATTTGTTTTGTTCATGATACTGCGTGGAAAGGTCGTTGAGAAGGCCAACAGCAACACTACCGCATTTGAAAAACAACGACCGAGAACCAAGGCAAAATGCAGGTAGCAGGATCCGAAACGACGGTGGTGAGTGCGTGTGACGTTGTCTCTGATGGCAATGGAGCATGCGATGATATTATGTAGCGTGTCATTCCCGCGACCCTGATGTACAATAGTTGGGTGCCAAGAAAGAACAAAGAATCACGAAAGAAAGTGACATAAATATATCAGAATTGTGGCCTATTTCGTGAGAGTTCGTCATTCGGTGAGGCTAGCAACGTTTCATTGATGTGCGAACAGAATCAATATCAAATCGATGCAATGGGTCGTGAACAAACATGTGAAGGAGAGAAACTCTTATGACAAGAGCATAGCCTACAACAAGCTTTTGAAATAGCAATGTATTTGCGTGCAACAGGCAATAATCGGGTGAAAAACATGAAGAGGTCACAAACCAAGTTGTCGTGGTCATCATTCATTGCAATCGTCGCCACCATCATCGTCGGTATTATCATGGTGGCCATGCGGTCTAGGGCAGATTCACTCCCGATAGCAGCAGCCCCCCGCCTGCAACGGCGCTGCGTCCACAATGGGAATCGATTTGTCATGGCTATTCGGGGAGAAACCTACAGTACATAAGACACCACACAGAAGAGTTGAGAAGCCAACCAACGCAACCAACGTGTATGGCGTGTCGAGATAGGTGATGGCGATGTTTGGTGTCATCATCGACGTATTGTGCTGGGCCCAAGTAGTAGCGGGGATATCACCAACCAGCAACGCGCGCACGCCGACAATTGAAAAACAACCCAACTGACCGCCATGCTTGTGCTGTACGCAGTGTGCTGATCGTCACAAACTTCATCACCGCCATGCATGAAAAAGAAAACTGCAGACCCGATCTTAGTCTTACGTGTGACGTTTTACTTTGTGGCAACTAGTCGAACGAAACGAGCGCAGTGCGTTTATTGAGGTCCAATCGATTCTGGTCGCCAGCAATCTGCACTTTCCTGTATTTACTTGACGACGCACCCAATGGGGCCACAGTGGCCAAATTCATCGGGCAAGCGCCTGGATGGAAATGTAACCGTGAAGACACCCTGCTTGCCGACATACGTGCGGATGCTATGCAATCGCCCTCCTGGAGGCCCAAACAACGGTTTAGTGGACAATGGGCGCGTCCTCAAATTTGAATGGTTGTTTCGGCGGGAAGAGGTGTGCGCCGGGGCTCAACTTCGGTTGGTACATTGCCTCAGTCATTCAACAGCAAGGACATCCAGAAGGAACAGACAAGCTTAAGGCTCCGGATGCCCACAGGGTATTGAGCTTAGGCTAACGGCGTACCAACCTACTAGAGTATCCGAGGCAGGATGTATGGAGGAGTGCTGCGTGGAATGTGTCTCCTTCATCAAGACGACGGGAAGCCATTGAATTCAGTTTCGGCAATCCATGGAGAACTTGCATCAGTAGGGCGTCGGCTCTTCTCCCGTCGCCCGGAAAGGCATTTCTCCGACATGTGTGACATGGTTCAACACGACGGACATGTGTTCTACTGTGGGACGTATACCCCGAAAAGGACGAAGCGGGGAGCGTATACCCTCGGGCCCGAAAAGTACTGCATCTGTTCGATTGTTCCACACTAAGTTATTGTGAGTGTGGGGTTACCGGCACCCAACGGAATGCCCGTTTAAAATATGCCACGTTAAACGCATATCAAATGTGTGATGACGATGGCAGAGGCATCGAGCAGCCACTGCCAGGGATAGAGTACGTGGCATCGATTGCCGACGCCTATTGGTCCCCATGCAATACAGTTCTACCGTTGTTTGTTCCAAGGGATGCAATGGTGATAAACGCATGTCGACCATCCTCGTTCTGTTCAACTTGTGCATACGGCAGGAAGTTTATCTGCGATATATAGCGCTGGAGCTGTACGAGGCGGCGGGACGGCTAGACGAAGCGGAGGAGATGTGCCGGCGCTGTCTGGCGATCATACTGCACCACCTTGATGTTTTCGTTCAAAGGACGGGGCGACTGGACGAAGCCGAGGTGCTGCTGAAGCGCTGCCTGGTGGTCAAGGAGGCTGCGTTGGGTCGAGAGGACATGGAGCTCGATAACACACTGCACCACCTCGGCCGTTGCGTTCAAAGGGCGGGGCAACTGGACGAGGCCGAGGAGTTGTCCAGGCGCTGTCTGGCGATCCGGGAGGCTGCGCTGGGTGTAGAGGACATCGAGGTCGGCAATATGCTGCACCACCTTGGCGTTTGCACTCAAACGGCGGGGCGACTGGAGGAGGCGGAGCAGATGTTCCGGCACTGCGTGGTGATCAGGGAGGCTGCGCTGGGTCGAGAGAACATCGAGCTCGGCAACACACTGCACCAGCTAGGCCGTTGCACTCAAACGGCGGGGCGACTGGACGAGGCGGAGGAGTTCTTCAGGCGCTGTCTGGCCATCCGGGAGGCTGAGCTGGGTAGAGAGGACATCGAGGTTGGCAATACACTGCACCACCTTGGCGTTTGCACTCAAACGGCGGGACGGCTGGACGAGGCGGAGGAGATGTTCCGGCGCTGTCTGGCGATCCGGGAGGCTACGCTTGGTCGAGAAGACATTGAAGTCGGCCATACACTGCACCACCTCGGCCTTTGCGCTCAAACGGTGGGGCGACTGGACGAAGCCGAGGCGCTGCTGAGGCGCTGCGTGGTGATCAGGGAGGCTGCGCTGGGTCGGGAGAACATCGAGGTCGGCCATACACTGCACCACCTTGGTGTTTGCGTTCAGAGGGCGGGGCGACTGGACGAAGCCGAGGCGCTGCTGAAGCGCTGCCTGGTGGTCAAGGAGGCTGCGCTGGGTCGAGAGAATATCGAGCTCGGCAACACACTGCACCAGCTAGGCCGTTGCACTCAAACGGCGGGGCGACTGGACGAGGCGGAGGAGTTCTTCAGGCGCTGTCTGGCCATCCGGGAGGCTGAGCTGGGTAGAGAGGACATCGAGGTTGGCAATACACTGCACCACCTTGGCGTTTGCACTCAAACGGCGGGACGGCTGGACGAGGCGGAGGAGATGTTCCGGCGCTGTCTGGCGATCCTGGAGGCTGAGCTGGGTGTACAGGACATCGAGGTCGGCAACACACTGCACCACCTTGGCGTTTGCACTCAAACGGCGGGACGGCTGGACGAGGCGGAGGAGATGTTCCGGCGCTGTCTGGCGATCCTGGAGGCTGAGCTGGGTGTACAGGACATCGAGGTCGGCAACACACTGCACCACCTTGGCGTTTGCACTCAAACGGCGGGACGGCTGGACGAGGCGGAGGAGATGTTCCGGCGCTGTCTGGCGATCCGGGAGGCTACGCTTGGTCGAGAAGACATTGAAGTCGGCCATACACTGCACCACCTCGGCCTTTGCGCTCAAACGGTGGGGCGACTGGACGAAGCCGAGGCGCTGCTGAGGCGCTGCGTGGTGATCAGGGAGGCTGCGCTGGGTCGGGAGAACATCGAGGTCGGCCATACACTGCACCACCTTGGTGTTTGCGTTCAGAGGACGGGGCGACTGGACGAAGCCGAGGCGCTGCTGAGGCGCTGCGTGGTGATCAGGGAGGCTGCGCTGGGTCGAGAGAATATCGAGCTCGGCAACACACTGCACCAGCTAGGCCGTTGCGCTCAAACGGCGGGACGGCTCGACGAGGCGGAGGAGATGTTCGGGCGCTGTCTGGCGATCCGGGAGGCTGAGCTGGGTGTAGAGGACATCGAGGTCGGCCATACACTGCACCACCTTGGCGTTTGCACTCAAACGGCGGGACGACTGGACGAGGCGGAGGAGATGTTCCGGCGTTGTCTGGCGATCCGGGAGGCTACGCTTGGTCGAGAAGACATCGAAGTCGGCCATACACTGCACCACCTTGGTGTTTGCGTTCAAGCGGTGGGGCGACTGGAGGAGGCAGAGGAGCTGTTCAGGCGCCGGCTGACCATCTCGCTAGCCAAGCTTGGCCGAGAGGGACTCGAGTTGAACCATACGCTCTACTGCCTTGATCTTTGTCGAGCTCAGGTAAGGCAAGCAGATGGTGGTAGCTTCACGAGGATTGGACAGATGTCGTTATCATAGGCGATCTTCTGGTGGTCGGTTCGTACCCAGCACGTCTTATCGCGTTGACTTCCAGGCATTCGCGTATATGGAAGACTTACATGTACACGAGCGCTAGACTAAATCAGCCAATACGAAGGGGAATTACATCTAAAGGCACGTCCAATCGCCAGATTCACGGTTCAATTGTTTCCTCGACCACAACTCTCTGACAACCGAAACTTTGGTTATGTGTAGTTCAGTTTTTTCGAAGCGAATACATTATTTCCTCGACGACGTGGGAGTGTAACTTCTGAAGCTGGGAATGGTCCCGAATGCATTGGACATAGTGTTGTCCGTACATTTTTTGTTTGATTGTTTTTCCCGCCTCGGCAAATCTCTCTCTTGCGGAGGGGCAAGCCGGAACCTCGTGGGTATGTTGCCGTGCATGCTCAGAACAGGAATCCGTGGCGCGCACGCTGGACGCGGAAAGTCGCGGGAGCCGGTTTTGTATGTTCTGCGAAAAGAAAGCCCTGTCAAACAGCAATAAAGCCCATCAAAGACGCGAGAAAGGAAACGCCCATATGCTCGCTGCAAACACGTCTCCCGCCACGAACGAAAACTAAATGCCGCTCAATCTGATCGCATGGCATATGTCCCCCATAACCCACCACAATTTTCTTCTTCGGAGATGGTGCCGTGGCCTCTGCTTGGTGTATCGCGCGAGTTTGCAGTTTGTCCCCGAGAACAATCTTTTCCTCTCAGCTGGTATCTCCGCATATAGTCTATGGGTGATTCCGTCACTATCTCAATTCAACATTGTGCTCGTCCACACTTCGCCGCGGGCAGATCGATGCTCTGTAGACTGTACATGCACCCACACTTGGCTTGTGGGAGCCTGCGCTCGCTTCTCTGCTTGTGACGCGTTTCGGATATCTATTCCAGTTCAAAGAGAATCTACAATCGCAAGAAAATATCGCTGAACCGGTGGCCGGCTCAGTTGGGTGAATACCGCTGGCGATTGTTGTCCGCGCGGGATGACCCCAAATAATTCATGCGATGTTTGCGACAGAATCGAGCACTATTCGTATCAGCCCTCGGGAGGCTTGAAACCCGTGCCCGCAGGGAGGACCTTGAATTTCATACAGACTTACAGACCGTGTTATTCGGGTTGTCATACGTATCCGTCGGGTTGTGAAAGAAAGCACAGAAAGACTTGCGATTTCGGTGCCAATAGGTTGAATTTCTGCAGCTCGTTTACAATAAGTCCAAGGAATATCGAAGCTTCCCTAAGGCACAGGGGATAAGGAGATTTTCCGATTATTGGTGTATGTTTGATGAGGCCCCCGTCGTCGCAGAGGGCCTTCCTTGATGATTTCCCCATCCTTCGTGAGCATATGGTGCCAGTAGATGCTCTCGATATCCCGTAGAGCGATATATGGACTTCATCGTGCCCTTCCCCAAATCTGAGCAAATAGCGAAGAGACTACAAGGCAATTGAGGAGGTAGCCGACCCGTGGCGGTTGGGCACAGGATCACACGGTTCCGAGTTCCTGGCCGAAGCTGCGGGGGGGCAGCTATTGCGGAAGAAATCATAGTCGCCGCATCTTCTAGCGCGTTTTGAACAGAACAGTACAGTCAAAAGCTCGGTTTCGGTACCATGAACCGTTGGAGGAAGTTTCCAGCAAAGGCCGCCAGTAACGTGAACGTTTGCCCATTTTTCAAAGCCGGATCACTAGTGACCAGGGGGGCAGGTTGGGCACCGATTACAACCTACCTGCGAAAGTTGGGGGAGGATGGGAGGATGTAACCAAACTTGAGCGCATTGTCTATCCTGCCAGTCCGTCGTGCTAGTTGGATTATCGCCATTATTCGAGATGCGGATTTATCTGCACACTACGGTGTGCAACCTCCCCACCACCTAGATGTTGTAACCGTTGCCCAACCTACCCCCAACCTCGTACCTGGCCACTGGCCATACCCTGCTTGCCCCACACCCCGCGGGCCCCCTTGCTGTTCCTCGCCGTGCTTCTGCCTAGGCCGAGTCCCGTGCAAGAGGCACTTCGAGCGACTTACTGGTTAGTACCACCAGTACACCATGGTCTGCGGAATACGACGAGGACATCAACGATTGCAAGGTGAGAGCTACACATCTTACAGTCATGCAGCGGTCCTCCTAGCGACAAGGCATCGTTCGTCGTAAGATCGAAACAACGGGTTAGAAACATTCCTGCCGCATGGCTGAATGTGCGTTCGTCCTACCCTGCCCTTGACTACCTGTACCGCCCGAACCTTTCGGCTCGATCTATTCCCAGGTGTGCTTCGACAACGAGATAAATTGTGCTTTCATTCCCTGTGGGCACTACTGCTGCTGCGTCGAGTGTGCCTCTCGCAGCGATGGATGTCCCGTGTGTCGCACGGCCGTCACGCAAACGGTCAGGATCTTCCGGTCCTGACTGTGACCGACATTGATTGTCAGTGCCAAGTTTTTGCCTATGCGTGACAAGTTGCAACCTCTGGCCATTGCTGTAAGCCACACGAGAAAACCCGGCTAGTAAAAACTATGACAAGTAGCACCCTCAACAAATCAGCGCACTGGGAGGGTCCCGAAGCATCGGGCTGGCAATGCCGCCCAGAGAATACGCTGGAAAACGACGGAGGAGAGGGAGCATGCATGGTGCAGCAAGAAGTTTCTCGAGTACCTGGTAGAGAATAGCTTTGAAGGTCTTCACATGATTTTAGGAAACAGCGTGAACGTCAGTCGAACAGATAAATATCGTTGTTGGGAGACAGACGCCGTTAAACCGAAATGGCTCAAGATTGTCCGGGTTTCAGAGTGTCCTGCAGAATGCAATGCAGACGGAACAAGGGGCCAACTCCACTGACGATTAGCTCGTAACGTCATTATGCAGGTCGGAGTTCATCCTCAATCAACGCGCTTTCTGGTCCCTGTAGAAATAGTAGTAGTCGCAGTAGTAGTGGTTCTTGTGTCGTTATTGTTGTTTATGCGGTATTCAATGAGCGAATACCCCTGTCTCTGTTCAGTGCCTTCTAAAAGAATCACCCGTACAGGTTCAACTGATGCGGACGCCTTCCCTGTTTACCGGCCAAATACTCCCTAAAGGGTACATACAACTCGCGTGGCAAAAAACAACCAGCACGAACAATTGGAGGGGGTCCAACCCCCACCTCCTGTGTGACCCCGGTTGGGTCGTCTAGCTAGTAGAAGTGGAGGATAGGGGCCATAGGGGCAGTCGACAGAATCCAATGATGGGAGAAAAAAAAATATATATATATATATATACATATTAGGCGCTGTTACATTAGGTGATGGAAATCGTAAATTTAGCCGAAACTTTTCAGTCTTAAAAGCGTGACCGAATTTGGCATTTTCAATGGGCAATGGCATCTGCCCCCCTGTACGATAGAGCAACGTATTGTTTCAGATTGTTTCGGGTGCAATCCCTCCGACACTCCACCATCTGGGCAGAACCATGCGGTACGGAATCCGACAACCATCGGTTCTTGAACATTCCTCTCCGGCTGGTTTAGGATGCGACAAGGATTTTTTTGTTCGCAGGGACGCGAATCACCGGCAACATCAACACCAAAGGACACTGACTAAAGCCTCACCCTTGCCTCTCGAGGCGCTTATCCTCAACGCCTTTTCGTATTTCCAACAGCGTAGTGTCGTACGGAACACAGCAGACTATTTCTTGTCAAAAAGTCATGCATCATCCATCAATATATCCCTTTCGCCATATTATATCCCTCAACATGGCAAGAAACAACCCCCCCCGAATCTCACCATCGAGCTGGGACGCGTTTCCGTTGTCGTTGAGGCCAGCCGAAGCTGCGAGTCAACCCTGACGATGAGGTCGTTGAGGACGCCCTGCTGGCTCTTGTCTATCAGGCCCTTCGAATCCCGACCGCATCCACAGCACCGGACAGATTGAGTGCCCCAAGCTCAAGCTCGTCTACAGTAGTGCCGGTGCACTTGGCCGGGCCACCCTCGGCAGGCTAAAGCACGAATACTAAGGGAATGTGCAACACATTGCAAACTGAGAACGTCATCAGACGTGCAGCACGTGCCGTTACAAGCCCAACCGTCAGACTCCCCATGTGCCCTCCTGAGGATAGTCTACACGGGTCTAGCACACAGCGTGAATTCGTATATTCGTGGAGGTGCAATAGGTGCTGACAAGGAGCGACAGCAGATACATCGAGCCGATATTCCGTGAAAATGCCAATCCGTGCTCAACAAAATGGAAAAGAGAAGCACAACCGTACCGGAGTCAAAGCTTGCGTGCTTTTCCTGCAACGACAAGACTGTTGCGACGGAAGCGAGGTTCAGGGAGCGTTCAGAAACAACACAAATACGGTGAAGAAGCGCTGGTAGAACGACCAACCGAAAGAACTCACGGAATTGGGCGTGCTGCTTATAGTTCGGACGAGTGCAGCCCTCGATACTACCGGTAAATGGATACTGTAGTACAGCATATTTGATCCTTGGGCAAAATTGTTTCCATAACGATGGTGGGAACTGCTTTCTTCCCATCTTCCCCACTCGAAGGCGCTTGGAGCCAGCGCGCTCCAATAGTGAAGCCGAAATCTTTCCGGCTGACCATCAGCTACCGTGTGTGTGCCCAGAACATCGTGGATGTCCAAAGGTATTGGCGGGTCACATCGAATCGGCATTCCTATCTGAGGCGTGCCGAACAATGCGGGGATGTTAGGGAATACCGAGAGACAGATGAGACCTCTACATTCTCAGGTCGAAAAACGTTGCAAGACATCAACAACACACCTTCGCTGGAGTCCCTGCTCTCATCGCGCCGTTCATATCTTCGGGGAGAAATCTACTCGCGCGTGCGACGCCTTCAGCATTGAACCAGGAATTCAAACATTACAGCATAATGGTTTGAGAGTCGGCAGGTTTTGCAGGTTTTGAACTTGATCTCTCGTCCACGGTCGTCGCACTTGACGTGGGAGAAAACCGTGTCGCGAGGCTCGGATAGGGGCACACTCCACTCATTATCGAAGCCTAACCGCAGAAGACGATTTGCGCATTTGCTGCTCAATGCCGATTCTGGTAAATGCTCGCAATTCTCACTGGTTCTCGCGCTCTAAATTTGGTAGTAAGACTCCGGGGGGGAACTCGAAACTCGGTAGCGAAGGCTCAGCTGCGGTATTTCTACGACGCGAAATCGGGGACAGCTGTGGATGACGTTCCTGTACCAGTGGAACAAGTCTTTCCAATAACAATACACCTCCGGACCCGGGGCGGCGAAGATGTAACCATGAGAGTGAGTGCGTCGTGTTTCGCCACTAATGGGTGTATGGAGTGGCCATTTCAACGGCTTTGGTACCAAACAAAGAAAAACCGCCACACTGCCGGCAAGAGACACCGAAGATGGAGATGTACAGCCGACTAAGCAACCCGCCTGAGCTTTTCAGCTGAGTGGGACAGAAGTCCTGCGTCAAGCACCGGTTGGCAAGCGCCGTCAGATGAAGAGCGATCTCGCCCAGACAGGCGACGCCGAATTGCCGTTTGGGGTTCCATTCTTGCCAAGACACGAGTGGCGGAGGGGCAAAGAAATCACGTGATGTAGGCACAATGCAGAGAGGATGGTGATGGAGACTCATGCGCCCTGTCACTGATGCTTCAATATACAATCCAAACATAAGGTAGTCAACAGCGGCTCATGAAACCTCCCCATTGTACCCTCTCATCGCACCCCTCACTGTAAAGCTGGTCGTACCCGTTTGTCATGGATATATCCTCAATGGAAACCCATTTCGTTGCTCATTTTGACGCACTTCACGTCGTTGCGCGACTCGTTCCCCGCCAAGTCGAACCATCCACAATTGCTGCTTCCGATGGTACAAATGATCGATTCCCTCCACCAAAACGACGCACCAACCCTTCTAGACAGCAGCGCTCGGCCGGTGGTCGTTGTATCCGGTTAGATATGAAAACGTTTCAAACCGCGGGGGGCTCTGAAAGACGTCAGTCTCCTTCGGCATGACAGATAACTGATGCGGCTATCTCTTTCTCTCCCAGGGCGCGTTGCAGCGTCGACTTCGTTCGATAGCGTCATCATCCAGATACTGCCGTTGTCCGAGGACCAAATAGTGGCCGCATATATTTGCACACATGCTATTTTACCAAGACAGTCTAGAGTAGATGCCCCTATTAGTAAGCCCCACTTAAGCCACCCTGTGCGGAAAAAGCTGGTACTTCGTGAAAAGGTTGAACTAGAGTTCGAACGAAAGAAAACATCAATATCTGAGTGTAGAAAAAAAAAAATGAAAACAAATGAGTTTGTGTGCTGTTAGAGTCAGTACAATACATGGCTCCTCGAAGCTAAAAAAACGGAAAATACCACCAATACCACCCCCCGCCACATACGCCCCACTTTGCGTTAGAGCCACATTGTGCACGTAAAACAACGTTTCGGGACATGGTACTTGGTGTCATGGCCAATCACCTTATGAATATGAGTCGTTGCAAAAAAAACAAAACAATGTATGCGGGGATGAAATTGGCGTATCCCCCGGTTTTGAACCAACTTTTTGGACGGAATAACACCCCAAGTGTTGCTTCCTGAGGGGCCCCGTGACCATGAATCGGGGTAGGGCCAAAAAATTGTTCAGGATTGAGTTGGTACTGGTTTACAACGACTTCACAAAAAAATCGCGACATGAAACGGTAGTTTGCACGCCATGTTGATCGGTAAGAAGCGGGTGCATTTACCGGTGTTCGCGTCCGTCTACGGCAACCCCCAGTCCCGATATGCACGACGCTGCATCTCCTGTTTTTCTCTACTTCACTTTCACCTCATGATTCGCCGTTTGACACCGACCTCGACACTAAAGCAAGGAGCAAGANCAAAAAAATCGCGACATGAAACGGTAGTTTGCACGCCATTTTGATCGATAAGAAGCGGGTGCATTTTCCGGTGTTCGCGTCCGTCTACGGCAACCCCCAGTCCCGATATGCACGACGCTGCATCTCTTGTTTTTCTCTACTTCGCTTTCACCCCATGATTCGCCGTTTGACACTGACCTCGACACTAAAGCAAGGAGCAAGTACATACAAACGGGGGGGAGGAGTCCCCAACCGGGGACAGAGTGGTCACATCCCCGGGTTTTCCAGTCAGAAACTGATTCAAACCGCTAGGTACAGCGTGGCCTCCAAGGGCGGTTTCAACCGATTTGGAATCAAACTAGGTTGAGTTCGGATCGGTACAGAAAAACCTACACGTCTCTTTTTTCTTTCAGAGCTTCCTCGGCCTCCACCTTCTGGCGTTCGTCCTCGAGGAATTTGTGCATGCCGTCATCGCACGTGATAACCCCTCCTTCCGGGAGACCATGCACTTGCGGGTGATGGCGAGCTTCTTCTGCTTCTTTTTCGCCTTGACGAAGGCTCCGAGCATGACCGTGTTGATAAGGATGCCCTTGACGCACTGGCCCTTTTGCTGCAGCTCGCGAACCGTTCGTGGGCCGAGGTTGTCGGCAAGATCCTTGTCGGAAATCGCCACTGTGATGTCCTCGACGGGCGGGCGGGCACCTGATCGTTCCTTCCTCTTCCCTACACCTTGAAGTCGACCCATCGCCCGCTCCTCGTCTACCGGCCAAAGGCCTACCCCTGCAAAGGGTGATATGTTCTGTTCCTCGGATAAGCTCCGCAACCAAGCATCCCCAAGAATGCCCAACATGTCGCGCTTCGCGGGCACCCTTCCGCCGTCTCGTGCCGGGAAGGCCGAGAGAACCTTGGTGATTTCCCGCTTGAATGACCCGAACGCCCCGAACGACCCGACGCCCAAGGGCTGAACAACATGAGACGAGTGGGACGGTATCTGGTAAAGGACGATGTTTAGGTCCCTGGCCAATTTGACAACTTCGTAGGTAACATGCGAGGCGTGGCCATCAAGCACGAGCATGTTTGGCGTGCCGTTGATCAAGCCGCGGTCGAGAAGCCGCCGGTGAAAGTCGCGAATGTAGTTGACCAATACGGTCACCTGCATGAACGAGGAATCGGTGACTGCCAGTCTCTCGTTCGGAGGGCCGTTTCTGCCTTTGACCCAGTCTGCTTGCAGACGCTGCCCTTTGTAGATGATCCACGGGGCGAGGGTGGCACCCGCCGCGCTGATGGTGAACACCACCGTCACGTTTTCTCTCGAGTTTGAACGCATCGCTCCAACCACTTTCTGTCCGCTCTCCGCAATTTCCTTCATTGTCGTGGTGCCTTGTGGAGTCTACCTGCAAAACAGAGATGTTGGACCAGGAAAGGTACGTAGCCGAGGTGGCGTTGAGCGTAGGGAAGGTGGTCGGAGCGCACCTGGTACCGCTCTCTCTAGGTCTGTGTACTATTTCTACAGAGGAGGTGGACGACAGCACTGTCAGCCAGGGGTTATCGGCAAAGGGCGAAGAGACTAGACTACGGCTACATCTGTCGGCGATAGAGACTAATCACATCAGGAAAGGGGTGCCGCCGCAGGCGAACACAAGCACGCTTGCGCTAGAGTGCGACACACAGCCAAACCCGTCTAGGTTTCTGTTTCATCCCCAACACACACCTCATTCCGCCGTCCCTCTTGCTATAACTCGAGTGACTTCGAGCGTACGGTAACACAGTGAGCGCCGGGGAAAGGGGAGGGGGCATGTGCTACTGTAGTGTATGTCAACCGTGCGTTTTAGTCTAGTCTACAGCGGTAGTGGAATAGATCTTGCAGGGGTGTGTGGGTTGCAGAGGGCGGATCCAACGATCCACATTGAAAAAATCGGCACAACTCCGCCTGCTGCTAGCAAGTTGCCGCGCAGCTGCACCGCGCACTACAGCACTGCTGTAGCCCTTGCCTACTGCTTAGATCCATCAGCAACACCTTTCTATATGAACCTCACCGGTCTCATCTGTGTTCCACAGGTGATTGGCAAAGATCTTGTCCTTGTCAACGAACTCGCCAAAGTCCTTGTAGAACGTCTGCAGGCGAGTCTC